TGTGAGGAGCTTGCGTTTCATTCTTCTTGGCTAAGTATCTTTTCTACAACCGCCATTGCATTCGGGAAATGAATCATCCAATAGTTGCAGCGAGCGACGTAAATCGTTCGATAAAACAAGAGAAACTTCCGGAGATGCGCGACAGGACACCTCAGCATCTGGCCATGAACATCACGAAGGAGGCTACTGAGAGCTCCAGTTCTCCTGAAGATACCACGAGTACTCCCCCTAATTCTGGCAATCCTGTTGTTGCGCCTGATTCAATTCCCAACCAAGGTCTCCGTGCTTGGATGCAGGTTGTTGGATCTTTTTGTTTGTACTTCAACACATGGGGTAAGCTAGTTAACAGAAAATCCAGTCTTTGATCTGAATTAGCGGAGACAGAAATATCCGGCTTAGGCTACAATCATTGATAGCTGACTCTTACCTGCTCAGGTCTCATCTCCAGCTATGGAACCTTCCAAACAATCTACGAAACTGGTCCATTGAAAGGCCATAGCCATTTCCAGATCTCCGTCATCGGCTCATTACAGTCGTTCTTAATGGTGTTTCTTGGATTGGTAACAGGACCAATATATGATGCAGGTTATTTCCATCATCTGCTTGGTATAGGCTCTGTCTTGATCGTCGTTGGAACAGTGGTACAAAGCTTCTGTACTCAACTATGGCATTATATGCTAGCTCAAGGAGTTGTCATTGGTCTGGGTGCTGGCTGTCTTATTCTTCTCAGTGTAGCAACCACTTCTATGTGGTTCACAACCAAACTTCCTCTTGCTAATGGGATTGCTGCATCTGGGAGTGGTCTTGGGGGGTAAGTCTCAGTTCTCTTTCCTAATTCAAAATATTATCTTACCAGCAACCAGGGTCTTATTGCCCATTATGGTGCGGCAGTTACACGCACAGGTGGGCTTGGCGTGGGCAATAAGATCGGTAGCACTCATTTGTCTAGTTCTCCTTGTTGTTGCAAACGCGTGCCTTCGTCCCCGAGGGCCTGGGGCAGTCCGCAAAAAGCCTCGATCTTTGATTGACGCTACCGCCTTCAAAGATTGGCCGTACATCTTCTTTGTACTTGGTTGTGTAGTGACATTCCTCGGCATGTACACACCCTTCGTATACATTCAGAGCTACTCCCTCGAGGGCGGTGTTATTTCTTCCCACCTATCCCTTTACATGCTCGCCATTCTCAACTCCAGTTCGATATTCGGGCGCATTTTGCCAATCTTTCTTGCCCAGAGGCTAGGACCAATGAACATGATTGTTCTGACCGGGACAGCTCTTGGCATCACAAGTCTTTGTCTTGTCACTGCTTCCAGCATGGCACGGGTCCTGGCCGCCATCGTCGTTTACGGTTTCTTCACTGGCACTTTTTTCGCATTACAGCCTACCATCGTTGTAAGACTGACTTCTGACGCTGGCAAAATCGGTACACGGTTTGGTATGGCCTTTTCTGTTTTTGCTATAGCACTATTATTTGGGCCCCCCATCGCAGGAGCTCTCAGAGATGAATTCAGTTATAATATTGCCTGGATATGGGCTGGGGTAGCCCTCCTAGTGGGAGCAGCGACTATCGCAGCGGGGCGTGTAGCGAAGGTTGGCTGGCAACTCCAACAACGATGCTGAAGTATATATTAATATAATACTGGTATATTTCCTCATCTAATTATTACTTGTATTACGACTGCACGGCTTCTTCTCCAACCTGGCGCTGAGACTTTCCTTCTCAGCCTACTCTATCCTCAGTCATTTACTCAAAAGTCAAATAACCGAAAAAATACCTACTGAAGTAACAGAATCATGTTGTCGGGAAGACTCATCTCAATCATGCATTAGCTCTACAATATATGTCGAATCATGTCCCTGATCAAAGAATATCGAGTGGGGGGAATGCAGGAGGCCAACCACGCCAAATACACGTATTTGCATTCAAAGAGGTCTATAAATGTTTAACCAGAATTCTTTTTGGGGGGGTAAACAATCCATTCGAACAAATTTCTCTTCGAATACATATCCTCTGAAACAATTCCACAGTCTTGCGATGAACAACAGCTCTGCTAGCAGTACAACTCTTGAGTCCGAATCGGCCAAGGTCTACCCTCCCCGCGGTAACCTTCAGCAGTATCGACTCGCTAAAACCAGAACCTTCACTTGCAACCGTTGCAAGAAAGAGAAAACTTCTAAGCTCGTGGCGACAAAGGACAATGAGGAAGATGCACTGATGTGTAACGGCTGCTACGGCGAGCTACTTTCTAGTAGAAGCAATTAGGTGAGATTTACCATTAAATAACGGTACGAGCCCATTTCTAAATTTCTTTATAGTGGAATAGAAGCTCTTCATATAGACAATATATAACCATGTGATCAGTTTGTGGCTATTCAGGTATGGTCAATTGAACCAGCTCCCAAGTATCCGCCTACGTCTAGCAAGTGACTCAACCTTGACTCTACGTTAGACCTGGCAGAGGAAGCATTAGAAGATTCATTGTATGGGACCAAGCGTTCTTCAAAACGACCGTCATCGATTGGGGCAATCTCTTGTCAAGTAGAACACCCTGAAATGTTAGAGAAGACTAAGCAGACGCCCTCACAATACCACACAGCCCAACAAACAAGACAACTGAGAGGCAGATAAAAAGGGGCTATTTTTAAGAGCTTCTCAAGTCAATACTCATCACTCAGCGCGAGATCACCAAGACGATTCCAACCCATACACTCCCCTAGGCTTATCAGCCAGTGTGGTCAAGCGAATACCATGTCGGAGTCCTTCCTGTGGATTGTGCACGTTGTAATCATTTATGGCTGTATGCGCAGTCACACGGTTGTCCCAGAGAGCAACTGTCCCTTCTTCCCATCTCACTCGGGCCTGAAAGTCCTGGCCTGCCGCGATATGCTAAATTCCACCATCATTAGGATCATGAACCGAAGACAGACTCAGAGGGCATCATACCTTGAAAAGCAGGTCAAGCAGAGCGTCAGACTCCTCAGCTTTGAGCCCAATGATTCTCTTTGTGAACCCTGGATTGATATATAGAGCCTTTTGCCCCGTTGCCTACTTGATCTGTCAGCCACTGCAGCATCTGTCAAATTGGTTTCGAAACTTACCGGATGGATTCTCACAATCGGGTGCTCAGACTTTACTGGCTCCCGCCGAACGTGTTTGCCATCTCGACGGGCGTTTTCCGCCTGGGGAAACCCGCTGTGCTCAGCTTTGAGGCCCTCCAAGAGTGTCTTGATGGGCGTGGAAAGGCGGGAGTAGGCCGCTGTTTGGCTGGCCCAGGTTGTATCGCCGCCAGTTTCTGGCACCGATAGGAGAGCCAAGAGCGTAATTCCGGGAGGTTGGTGCTCGTAGGAGACGTCCGAGTGGAACCCAATGGTGTTGAGTCTCTCCAATTTTCTCTGGTTACGATATTCATTATCGGGTCCCAGATAAATGTTGTGGAATTCAAGGTGGTCCTTGACGTGAGCTCCGACAGGCTTTCCATGAAGATGGACGTTAGCTCTCCCTCTTCGGCGCCAACTGCATACTCGGTCGATTGTGACTTACGTGAATGTGAAGCGGACCGAAATATCGCGCAAATTCCAGCTGTTTCTCGATCCCTATGTCTTTGAAGTCCTGGCCACGGAAGACCACGACGCCTCTTTCTGCGATGAGCAGCGCAAGTTCATTTTTCTGCTGGTTGTTGAGTTGAGAGAGCTGGAGGCCGCGAATTTCTGTGCCAATGACCGGGGCTATCTTGGAGACTGACACGCCAGGAGCGTCTCCAGCAAGAAGATTCGGTTTCTCTTTGTCAGCGACCAGTCCCTTGTCATTGAACTCGAACGGTTTTAGAGGCGGAAATTTAGTAGTCTCATCATAAACCGGAAGATAGTCCGTGTATTTATACTAAAAGCATGACCATGAGCACATGAATAATTCGCCATGGGAGATCTAGCTCTCTCACCTGCTCGTGCAGTACCGTATCATATGCTAACTTGACATTGATGGTGGAATTACCACTTTCAGTTATCGTAGTCGTCATTGTCGGTTTTATCGAGGTTGGGATTTCTGTTCACTGGAGCTGCTATGGATATAGAGCTTGGTAATCAATCCTAAACCGGGTTGATCTGACGTGTAGATGTTCTGACAGCCAGCTGCTCAGGTACCAAACCCGAGTCAGGTCAAGAGAGCTCGACATATATATAATGCCACTGTGGTAATCACGCCATCACCACATCGGTTGTTGTAATTACCGATACCGCCGTAAGTCATCGCGAACGACGAGAAGTCGAGGTTACATCATTTGCACACCATCTTGCTGGATTCACGTTGATCTTGCAGTGCGGGGTACATCACATCATCTTTGATCTCAGTGGTGCCACAGGGAGGGCATCTGATTGATCTAGCAACTTGCCTAGGTGCATCCTATCATTCAACCCCTGCTACGAAAACATATTGAGGGCACCGGAGCTAGGGTTGTTAGCGATGTCTCTAATAAACGACAAAGACCGAAAGTCGACCTATACACATTCAGGTTAGGAACGGTAGTAGCTAGAACGATGCTTCTAAATACACCACGATAAGGTTTAGTATGAGATTCATACAAAGTGGTTACTCAAGTGGGTAATCAAAGGTTTCATTCAGCATAAGGTACCTAGGCAATGTTTTCGATCTCTAATATCTTAATATAGAAAACGCCAGTGCCTTTCAAGGCTACGTGCATGGACAAAGCGATGAGAAAGAAATCAATTACTAATCGCCTAAGAAGTTGCATTAACACGGTTCCTCTTTGGCGCTTGACTTCAACTAGGCAACCTCCTTAGTGACAAAGTCATTCAAAGAAACGATCTTCCATATCGCGAAAAATTAGGAACAAATGATGTTTCGAAGCGTAAAGACATATGATGGTCCCCAGAAGCGAAGAGAATGCACTCCCCCAATGGTGCGCGGCCTGTCACCTAGGGTTGGTGGTGATAAGACGCGCCCAAGGCAACGACATTCCATCTGTATTCATTAGCTAAGGCCGTTAGAAATCCGCTGCATTTTGAAAAATATACCGGCCTTGAGGGGGAGAAGGGCAAATTTCCAAACTCCACTGGGCGAATTGTTCTGTCAAGGCGTTCACCAAGTACTTGCATTGAGACAGACCGCCAACCAGAATCACCTTCTGCATCCATCGTATTAGTAAAGACTCCAAATGAACCAAACGAATCATGGGAAGCACACCGTGGGGGGCTTCACTGGCAGGGCACATTCTGTATCGTAAGCCTCTCTGACGATAGAGATGACATGGTTAAGAAGCTGATCAAAAAGACTGATGAATACAGAGCTAAAGTGTGTCAAAATACCAATTAGAAGACATTCATTCGGATGTGGTTTTAGAGAGAATGACTCACTGCTGAATGCTGAGCGTCCATTCTCCTATCTGAAAACCCATACTATCTCCGTAATTGACGGGGTCATACTCCAGCTTATCCTTCTCTCGCCATCGTGCCATGAAAGAGTGCTTGAATTGCTTCAGCATGTCAGCGTTATCCACTCGATACGTTTCGGGAATGTGACGCTCGATTTCTCCGTCGAGCTCCTTCGAAAATTCCTCGTCGATGAGACATCCGCCATTAAGGCGGGATATCCACACACGAGGCGATGCAGACGCCCCCACGATAGGGCAGAAGCGATGAACCACAACATCCTAATAATGTTAACAAAGTATGTACTACAAACACGCAGTTGCGGTTCAACATTACTAATAAAGGTAGAACCTACTGTTGTCAAACCGCCTATATCACAGATAATGGCTGTTTCTTTGGCCTGGTTATTCATCCTTAGCAATGTTGTTCTGTTCAACAGAGAAGTGACCAGGGAGAAGGAAAAGAAACCTGGCAAGGCTTTCTTCCACTTACATCTCGGAGCAATTGAATCGTATCAGGCTCAGATTGCATCAGGCCTCGGAGAACGGCGACATGTTCCTCCTCAGTCACCATATGCTTCACGTCATAAGCACCCTCCGTAAAAAAGGCAGTCTGAAACGACGGGTGGTGTCACTCTTGGCCCCAGCAGGCGGGGTAAGTAACAATAGTTTTGACCTCGAAATTTGCATACCCCATCGTTCGGAATCTCATCTCGGAAAGGTCAATAACATATTGATACAGGCCATGAAGAAATATACCAAAGGCCTTTGGTGCAATAACGTAGGTGGGTTGTCTCTGCCAACAGTCTTTCAAACCTTGGACTACATTAGTATCCGCCTGAGAGAAACTGTCGGTTGTCAGATCCAAGACGCCCATCTTAAAATAGGATAGAATCTTGTAATCGGGCTCAACCCTCTTTTCAGGGGGCAAGAATTTCACTGCGATCCGCCCATTGCGAATGAGCAATGTAGGGAACTTTTCGACCTCCAAATCTCCAAGAACATTGAAGACCTTGTGTTCCTTACAATACTCAGCAAGGACAGCAAAAGCTCCGGAGTAGCTAGAAAGTTTCAACAATCTGCCAAGCTGATACCAAGTGAGAAGGTGTATGGGTAGTGAAAATACTCACGTCACACCTACGTCTAGGCCAACAAAGAGGGTGGGGGGGGCGCATGAGCATGTGTGAGCCATGGCAGAGACTGAGAGCGCTATGGCTTGAGAACGGAAGGAAAGATATGGTATGAAGAACGCAGGAGTCTTGAACAATGATCCAAGTGTGGGAAGATTGTGGGCTTTGAAAAAAGAATTATGAGTCGACAGAAACACGAGATGAATTAGTGGATATAATGAACAAAGCACTACCAAGGGTACGATGTAGAGGTGTCCACCAGAATCACTGTACTTTGTTTCATGGCTCTCGCCAGTTATAAGGACGCAAGTGGCGGTTATGCGATGTCTAATATTCGAAGGCAAGCGTGAGCCTTTCCTTCTTGTGCACCCTTCCTGAGACCGTACGACTGTCTAAGACGTACAGTCAATGCACTGAGGTGGTTGGTAGTGCAGCATGAATAATCTTCTCTCAAACAGGCCGCTCGGACACTTATGCATGATCCTTCAAGCCACCGTTCCTTGGATTGACAAAGAGGAAAATCCGCCCGTGATTCACGCTCCCCCCTCCCCTTTGTCCATAAGACCTACAACTTTTCTACCAGTATCTTGCTACCCGCCCCATTCTGAACAGATTAAGTTTTTGCCCGTTCACACACGACTTCTTGCAGCGAAGATGTCGGACACGAAGAATCCCGAACACAGCACCGCTATGTCTTCCGATGAGAAGGGTGGGGAACTGAAGCGCCGTGAGGTCTCGCGTGATTCCACAACGAGGTCACCCGCATCCAAAAAACCCTGCATCCCATTGAAGACACCTGGGGATGAGATGCAGGATAGTGCTGATTTCATTGCTAGTGGTGACAGCGACGATAAGCAAGCAGTCACGAAGCTTAAATCGACTTCGCGTCCACCTTCACCCATTCTAGTAAAGAATGAGGGTAAGTGGAGGAAATTCGTGTATGATGATCTCCGCAATTTCCAGCATTCCAGCATAAGGTATTTATGGGGCGACTTGAGGCGCGATATCACCCAGCTCGTTAGAGAATGGATGCCTGAACGCTACTTGTGGGAGGATCTTTCCCAGGAGAGCCAGAAGGAAATTAGTTCATGGGCTTCCAATGCGAAAGAGCACATCGAGAACGACAAAACAAGCCATCCAACAGCTTTGTTCGAGGGATGGATCTTTCACCTCCTGTATGAGAATCTGTTCTCGCTTGAGTGCCACGAAAAGTGGTCATCGCCCGACTGGGCAGCGTTCGGGCAGCTGCGGCGCATATACAGCAGTACGTGCATATTCCGCTTCCCCCTTGTTTCATAACGCCAAGCAGAAGTTGCTTGCTAACCAGCCACAGCTCACGCAGAGAACTCTGGAGACGCTGATTCGCCATTCAACATTCGCTTTCACAACTGGCGCCATACTTCGTCACGCATGCTCTTCGACATGCATAAAGACATGCATGAAGATACATGGCATACCGAGCCATGTCGGCTCTTCGACATTCTCGCAGAGCATCTCGGACCTCTATTTCTATCCGAGTCCCGCGTCAGAGCTCCCGATCAAAGCTCACATGAGCGTCTAGAGTGGCTGGTTTACAGAGCTATCAAGTTGGACGCTCTCATGATCCATTCACTGATCAACCTGACAATGAAAATGAGAGACCCCGTCACGGGTAAAGTGAAGGATTTTCCCTTGGTTGATCGTGTGCTAATGGTAGCCCCATTTGCCAATTTTGACGATTCGCACGTTGTGGACTTTATCATCGAACCAAGGTTCACCATTTATGGATACAGAGGCCTTCCTCCAAGGAAAGTCAACTGGGAAGACTTGGAAGTATACCGAAGCAGCGTAATGATATCCGAAGGGCTTGGAACCGGCTATGCTAGGAGCTATGGTGAATGGAACTTCCATGTCGCCACAAGTAAGATCACCGGGCCAGCCGCTGGAGAGGACCACGACCTTTCACAGCCTACGGGAAACTCAGAAGCAGCTTAGTTCATACTTGCTACATATTCGGTTGGGTTATCAGGACCGATTGGCTGCAGTTCGGGGAAGCAGCGGGTGTGACAAGCATTCAGGCAGGCTCGCTGTTGTGCAATTCTTTCAGTCGGGGGGAGGGGAGGGGTTCGGAACTGGTTGTCTCTGTCCTACACACTCATTTTGTACCGCATTTTTTGTGCACCGTCGGTCAGTTATCATTCTTTTAAAACCAATCAAATTGACACATGTTTTGAAAATATTTTTCCAGAGGCAGCGTGTGGCGTACAGTCACACGACGCTCTACAGCGTATGAAACAGATGCCAAGGCGGATTCTCGTTGCGGCTGCAGCCATAGTATGTAAGCCGGACGAAAACTACGACCTGGTGTCACCTTGGACGACATTAGCTCAGGCACTTTCACAATTCACAGCAGAAGTCCAAACCGGTCCTGATGTTTGCTTTAGGAGTCTGAGGCATCTCACCAACCACCCTTTCACTCAGTGCGACAGATGCGGGCTATCAGTCCCGGAATGAGGAGGCCTCCAACAAAATTATTATCAATAAGCGGGCTAGAGTGATGGGGGCAAGACGAGAGTGCACCTTTTGATAATTGCTCAAGTACGGCATAATCAATGTCTCCAAGTTGGCGTGCGTACGAATATGTTACCTACCCTATAGCTGCGAGATTTTGCGGTGACAATCTTTTTTGATGTCTAGTTCTATACTTCGCTAAGAATAAGAGATGAATATGATTTTAAATATGCATTAACAAAGGTATTTGTGTCTGTACGCTTATGGTTTCTTTGACAATTTAGGACATAGAGTGTTTGACCGACGATGGAACTAATGCTGCAGACAACAACATACGCCAGTACGTTTCACAGCAGCTCGAGAACACATCCACTCGGGATATTTTGTTTTCTTTTTCTGTACTTAGCGCCTAGACCGGGGTTCACTCGTACCTTCCAGCACCCCGGAAATGGGCTTCCTTTTGAGCCTAAGCTACGTCCGTGTGGATGGATGCTCTGATTTCCTTCAAATCTCTGACCTGTCGACCATTCGCGTCAAAATTATCGTCACTTAGCCAGGTCTCCAGGGCCTTTTTGACGACAGGCCACTCGTCCTCGGTGATGCTGTACCATGCTGTATCACGGCTACGACCTTTGATGATCATGTGCTTCCTATGGCCAGGGAACGAATGGAAGATTAGCCACTGAGACCGTGCGCGGTGGGGGTGCAATAGTTTACTGTTCAAGGGAAAAAAAGAAAAGAAAAGAGAAAGGAGAGCCTAGACTCGGAGACGCACCTGAAGATCCCCTCGAAGACGAAGCCGAGCCTTTCAGCTGCCGCCAGGCTGGGCTTGTTCAGATGGTTTGCCTTCCACTCGAACCGGGAGTAGCCCAGATCGTCAAAGGCGTGCTTCATGGTCAGGTAGAAGGCCTCGGTGGCCATGCGGGTCTTCCGCAGCGCCTGGCCGAAGATGATGCTCCCAATTTCCAGTCGGCGGTGTGCAGGGACAATGTTCATGAACGACATGAGCCCGACCGGCTCAGGGCTGCTGGTATCGTCGGGCGTGGGCTTGGCGAGCACAGCATAGCAGAGGGGGTCGCTGGCCTTGCACCAGCCGTCGACGGCCCCTTGCCACTCGGCCTCTGTGTTGTAGGGGCCGCCGAACATGAAGGCCCAGGGCTGGGCGTTTCCCTCGCCGGCGAGATGCTTGAAGCTGGCTGGCGCGTGCGATGGCTCCAGGGGGACCAGGGACGTGTAGCGCCCATGTAGCGGCGTGCGCGGTGGCACGGCGGCCGGGTCGGTAGACACAGGGGGACCAAGTAGGGCATCCATGATGGTTCGTGGAAGGGTGGAGGGAAGAGGGAATATTGGGAGCCTAGGCTGGGATCTAAATAACGTGCAAGCCGTCTTCTTGTTCAGTGGGAGCAATTGAAGCCGCCGGCGATGGGCGAGACGAGCTGGGCTTAAAATATGGAAGAGGCTGCATCGAAGCTCTCCAGTCGACTGCCTCATCAAGTAATTCTAGGCAGCGAGTTGCCGGTCATCGAAGTGTCGTCTTTGCCCGCGCGCGACGGTTGGCTGCCGAGCATCACGGCTGACTACCGACACGAGTCATAATGGGCAATCCAAGCCGACCATCGGCGAACGCCACAAACTCCAGCGCAGCAGAATCTCATGAACTGTGGCTTTGGGGCTTCTACATGACTCCTCTTATTCATCATATCTAGGAACTGAATGCTCGCAATATGAGCATGGCGTTTGCGACAAGCTGATTATTTACCCCTTTCTCCTCGACCCGAGAGCATTACGAGCTGGGAAGAGGAGAAGAAAAATGAAATAGTGGCTGGATTGAAATGGTAGCCTCAATGAAGAGTATGTTTTGACATATGACACGAGGTGCAGATTATAGACTTGTGCAGCACAGACATATCTGGAGAACATGGAGATCTCTGCATTGATGGACCTGTCTCAGCTGCCTTCATATGCCGGACATCCTGGTTGGGAGAGCACATCTTGCTGCACCGCCAGATCACAGCTACCAGACGTAAGCGCTGCATCTCTTCACTGAGACAATTCCAGCTGGTTGCACCGATCGAGCACATCCTTGATGCCTCGCTGCACAATCCATGCCTGTCAATACAGCGGAAACAGACAAACAGCGTCTAGCCAGGCGGCTAGAAGAGGAGTCTAGACCACAAAGAATGCCAATCGCTCGAGTAATATTCTGATTGCTACCGTAGTAATATTCCCAACTGCCATTCTACTTGCGGGTCCCGGCCTGCTTCTACCAGGGCCCATGCATAATATTAAATCATGACCGACAGGGATAAAGACCAGACTGGCCCTGCTAGTTTCCTGTTTGGTGTCGCAGATTCCCTGATGGCGTGAGCTAATTACCAGGAACCAATTGGTAGGCTCGTGGACTGACAACCCCGGCAGATTAGGCGAGATGAATAAAAGAGAATGCAACCCAAGAGCTACTCTCCTTTCCGCCCCCCTCTTCGGGCACCTCTCTCTTTGTGAAACCAACATTCCAAACCGTCCCGTCTCACGCTAGATGGACACATCGAGCGGCTGCCATTCGCGGTGCTGGCACGACGCTGATTGTCTTTGATGGCTCCCACGAGACACGCCGTCCTCGTGGCGGCGTCCATTCTTTTGGCACAGGTCGTTGCAGGTGAGTAAACAACACAGCAAGCTCCGGGGCGTGAGGGAGGAGCAGGGCCAAGGACGGGAAGCTAACGAGGAATCCTCACGCGACGGCAGACTGCAACATATCGTCAAACTACACAATCATCGACGCTCCCGACGACAGCAAAACCGTCTCAACGTGCGATGTGATCGACGGGTCTCTCTCTCTTTTGTTCAACACCGCCCCCTCCGCCTGGCCCAGCGAAGCATCAGTCGACCTCGGCAGCGTCGGGTCCATCGAAGGCGACCTTGTAATATACCCGTCCAGCCAACCGAAGAAAACGACGGCCGCGGCCAAGAGTCTGAAGAAGGTGGATGGCGATTTGACCATTTCGGTCACGGGAACGACCAGCTCGGTCCAGGAGGTCCAAATCTCTTTCCCGGCCCTGGAGCAGGTCCAGAGAAACTACGTCATCTCCGGACCATACCAGAGCTTCACGGTTGAGCATGCCAAGTCTCTCACCATCGGTGGGCTGATGCGGGTGAGCGACCTCGAATCAACCGACCTCTCCCTCGGCGGCGTGAGCTCCGTAAAGGAAGATTTTTCAGTCAACTCGAACAAGAACCTCCAGACGTTGACGGTGGGCGACCTGACGACGGCGGAGAAAGCTTTCGCCCTGACGGCCCACAGCAAGCTCACCAAGGCGACATTCGCGAGCCTCAAGACCATCAAGGGGGATGGCACCATCTACCAAAACGCGGCCCTCACCTCCTTCGCCCTGCCCGCCCTCGAGACAGCCGGTACCTTTTCCTTCACATCGAATGGGGCAAACGCCGCTCTCTACCTCCCCAAGCTGCAGTCCCTCGGCAGCGGCAACAGCTCTTCGACATCGACATTTGACTCGCTGAGCAAAATTCAGCTGGCTTCCCTCACCACCGTCAAGGGCGCCCTCGCCTTCCAGTCCACCTCCATCGAGGACCTTACCGTGCCCCTCCTCAAGAACATAAACGGAAGTATCACCGTCCAGAGCAACCCGAGCCTGACGACGCTGGCCTTCCCCCGCGTGAGCGCCGTCACGGACATTTTCATCAAGAAGAACGACAAGTTGACCAACTTCACTGCCAACGCGCTGAAATCGGTGCACTCCATCTCGATCTCGGGATCTCTCACAAACGTCGAGTTCTTTGGGCTCAAGGAGGTGACGGGGGACTTTGAGGTCACCGGGGGCAGCTCGATGGACTGCTACTGGTTCCAGCAGAACCTGAAGAAGATCATCAAGGGGAAGTTCAGCTGTGTGGGTAACTACGACGAGAAGGAGCGCAAGTCCAGCACGGGAGGGATCGAGAACACGGAGGGCAACCCCAACGACTACATGACCGACATCCCGGACGACACCACCGGCACCAACGGCAACAATGGTGGCTCTAGCAACGGCGGTGGATCAAACAGCGACGACAAGGACGAGTCCGGCAGCGGAGCAGGTCTGTCCACCGGGGCAAAGGCTGGCATCGGAGCCGGCGTGGCCGTCGCCGCCCTGCTCGTCCTCGCCCTCCTCTTCTGGCTGTGGAGGAAGAGGAGGGAGGAGCCCAGCTCGCTGAAGCTGTCCGACTCGCCGCCGCCGTCGCTGCCCGTCCTGCCCATGATGGAGAAGCACACCGTCATCAGCAGCAACAGCAGCAGCAGCGAGGAGGTCAGCAGCCAGTACAGCAGCCAGTACAGCGTCAACAACCCCAACGGGGTCACCATGGCCAGCGGGGCCATCAACAACAACAGCAACAGCAACAACAACAGCAGCCACGGCGGCAACAACAACAGCCGGTCCAGCATCTACGAGGGCGACCAGAAGCTGGGGGTCTACACGACCATCGAGGCCACCGGCGAGCCCTCGTCGCCGTCCCAGGTGGGGACGCTGAACTTTGGGCGTATTTCTTTGTTGAGCTCGGCGTCCAAGAGGCTGTCGGACAAGGGCATGGGCGCCTGGAAGACGATCCGGAGGGTGAGCGTGTCGTCGGGGGAGGACGAGGGGAATACCAGCAACAACAGCAGCAAGAGCAATAAGAGTGGCAACGCCTCACCCTGATATGGTCCGGGGAAATTGTATACCGAGATAGCGTTTGATAATTTTAATATAATTTGCGAACAAGCTTTGACTTGACGACGCCGTGCCTACCTACGCGTAATCTTGTGATCTATCATCGTCCCTGTCTGCCCTTGGGTACATGATTGTCTTTGATTGCTCTCCTAGGTCGTTTTTCTGAGAGCATCTCATACTGCATGGCGGGCAACATGTGGATCAAAGGCAATGGCTTGTTGTCTTGTCACTCTTGTCACTGAGGGGAAGCTTTCAAGTTGAAATAGGAGCCGCGAGTGATGCTGTGGCGCCGGCCAATCCTGAAGCTTCGGCTGGCCATCTCAAACCCTCGCCTGAAGATCTAGTAAGGCTTATGAGCTACTGTGGCTTGCTATTTGATGCTGCCTGCCGAAAATCCGAGCGATCAAATGGCAACTAGCGACGTCAGAGCCTAAGTGAGATACGCCGGCAATCTCGAACCGAAACCAAAATGGCGCACAACCCAAAGAGGCACTCCAATGACCATTTCCTTGGCCCTCGACAAATGAAAGGTCGCAGCTGATGGTGTGACCCGACTGAGCTGGGATGGCACCATTCACGACAAGCGTGGCAGTATCGTCAATGCGAGGAGGCCTCTCCACGCCATCACTCGCTGGCCACGAACCGGAAGAATGGCAAGCCCAGCTGCGAGCCTAGCCCAATCCAATGGGCTCCCTCCCCCAATCCGACGGTGAAGTCCGCCCTTCACCGTCCTTCGCTCACGGCACCGGCACGAGCGGGTCGATCGGCTTAGATCCAGACGCCACGCCACGCCTGTCCGGGAGCTCCCCAACTCCAGGATCCATTCCATCAATAGCTGCTACCTCCTGTGGGGGCCCCTTTCGGCGTCAAGATGCCGTACGAATGACATGAGGACCTTGAAACACCCGGCTCGAAAGCATGAGGCAGGATGACGCGTACCCAATGCCGCCACGGGCCGCCGTCCTGGATTAGCCGTGAGATCCAGGCGATATGGCGAATGGGGACACCTGGAGCTTGTTTGCTAGATCGCCTGAGGGGGTGAATGAAGGTTATAAAAGCTGAAGCCGCATCGCTAAGTGCGAGTCAATTGATTGCTCGAACTCTCAATCCCAATCATCACACTCTTAGACGAATATAGCCTCTTAAACCTACATTTATCCCCATAAATCTATCATCATGGGTTGGTTTGACGGTGAGTCCTGATACCCGAGCCTGAGATGGCATCCTCGACGGAATCACCTAACAAGTCTGAAGATGACTCCCACGAGGCCCAGTCCTACGACCAGGTCGTGAACCGCCCCCACGAGGCCAAGTGGTCGCACGAGCTGCTCGGCGGTGCCGCTGCCTTCGAGGCCGCCAAGGCCTACGAGGACCATGTCTCGAGGAACGGTATGATGGCCTCCCTCCCATCACAACTAGAGCCCCAAGGCCTTTTCTAACGTGAGGTGTCATTCCAGGCCAGCCCGCAGACCACGCCCGCGCAAAGGAGATTCTCGCCGGCGTGATTGGTGCATTCGTCGACCGCGAGGTCGAGACAAAGGGACTGGACTATGTCGATAAGGAGAAGGCCAAGCGCCATGCTCAGCAGCAGGCCGAGCAGCAACTCGCCAACAATGGCCAGTGGTAAATTATATACATATATCTATGAATAAACGAATTTGAAATGACTGGGCCCCAAATCGGAGATGTGTACGAGTATTCCCGCCAGCCTTATCAAGCTAGACGCAGCCTCTCGCACGTTATACGCTATACAGATTGCCCTGCCGTATGAGCCAATTGACCTGTCACCCTCCGCCCGCTCTGGCACCCGGCTGCAGTGCGAACTCCGTGGCGATGCGCTTAGGAGGATTCGCTCGCTGTGCACGGGGAGCCCGTCGGTTCAGATAACTGACGCGCATATTTAATGCGACCATGTAGCCACACGGAAAGCTGCACCTCCATTGATGATTAGAGCATCGCCATGTCGTCGGTCAAGGCGCGCTTCAGGCCTTGAAGAACATCTTCAGAAAACTGCTGCTGCACATCACCGACGCGCCCTCCATACCCGGTGAGAAGACCGGTCTAGCCGGCGATCATCTGCTCAGCCAACTTCTCGACCTCTGTTGGGCAGCAGCAGAAAGAGACCTGGAGCATATCATCCGTGCCCTGCGTGTATGGCAGCAGGAAAGATACGATACCCTGCCTGAGGAGCTTGACCCTCTCCTTCATGGCTTCGAATCCTTTCTCGACCAGGTGAGCGAGACTCGTCGGCAGAATGCTCGTCCGTTTGGGAGCATACACATGGCTGTCCGTACTGGGCCCATTGTGATTGAAAATGGAGTTGCAAAGTGAATTTCCTCGAAGCATTGCCGTGATTAATATAACGCTAATACCAAACTCGCTTCTAGTACTGATGGTGGTGTTGTTCTCGTTACGACACGGCAGCCCCAACACTTGTTGGAGGTCGATCGTTTCCCTACCGGCGCCACTGAGTCTTCTCCTTGTTAGGCATGATGAAAGGGTTCTCTTCTCGCAGAATCGACCGACAAATCCCAAAAGATACAAATTGATGATGGAGCAAGTGGTCGGGGGCGCATTCAGTGGCTACCTGGATTCATCATTGGAAGAGTCTACCGTGGATGTCCTATTAAAGGGGACTAAGAACGCCGGCGAAGACACACTCACCATCGGCCTTGCCCTAGGGAAACTCGGAGACTTGATGGGATCTAGAGTTGAAAGCCTGCTCCGAGGCATCTTCGACCGACTGGTCGATACAACATTCGATATCCGATGGAGCTCGGCAAGTGATACTTGTCGCGACCTCTGCGACAAGCTTCTCGACCAGCCTCGGTTCCGTTGCCTTTTCCCACCCAGTCCTGACACCGGCACGGTTGACTACCCTCTCCTTGTGAGCTTTACATATCGACCAGGTCCATTGGTTGCAGAAAACCCGTGGCCCAAATACGAAGCACCTAACGGCTTCGTCGAGAATATCTACTGAGCATACAGAATGGCCGCCATGAGGCGTCAGATCTCATAGACACCATTTCGGAGTACTGGAGTGATTTTACAGCCTTGAAGCCCTTATACCCATACCAGGACCTGTTTCCGTGGGACTGCGCAGAGGAAGTGCAATCCGGCATGGTTCTGGAATAGGATGCAACTTCTCATAGCCCAAGACGCTCTAATAACTGTCGCCAAAGCCATGGCTTCGCCCCCGGCCGTGCTCAAAGCCACACACTGGCTTATATTCAAGAAGCCTCCCGCCCAGGAACGATTCAAGATGGGCAGCGCTCACCGCGCGCAGCCGTTCAGCCATCACTACGATGAGTACGTGACCCAGTAGTTCTTCCGCGCGAATTGGATCGCGAAGAATACGGTTGTTCACGCTGTACGAGAGTAAGACCTGCCTTGATGAAAGGAACAGCAGTGCACCTCCCCGGGGAATCCTTGGGTGGGGAGAAGAACAGGAAGAAAGGCAAGCATGGGACGGCGTGTGGTGCATACCCCTACACTGGCGGTGCTGGAGGGGGCGGTGGGTGTGCGGCTCCGACGAATATGGCACCACCTAGAGCGTGTGCTGCTACTTACTCATCTAGAAAGGGTGGTGGTGATTCAGGAGGCGGTGGTTGTGGTGGTGGAAGCAGTGGTGACGGAGGTGGTGGTGACGGAGGTGGTGGTGACGGAGGTGGTGGTGACGGAGTCAACTCGAAGCTCTTGCTGGGTGCATATGTTGACCAGAAGATACCATGTATATATGATATATATCTAGAACATAGCATTGATCTTCAAGTAACGCCAATGCTTCATCACGCTGCCTGCGCGACAGAAGATAGGTACATTGGAAAGCGTCAAAGGATCACACTTGTGAATACGTTAGTAAAAGGAGGAAAGCTCGTCTTCTCCCGTTTGATGACTCCGTACAAATAAAGTAGAAGGGATTATTAAGCGATTGCAGATGTTGAATGCATCCGCCAGTGGCATGGCTGCCTGGAAGAGAACAAACCTCATTCACGCACACAGTTAAATGGCTCCAGGTGCACAGAAGCACTGACCTACGCATCTTTGAATTTTCTTCATCACCTACCGATGCCAATAAAGTCAGCCATGGCCGAATCACGATCCCCATTTGAACAATACATGTCGGAAGGATTCATCGAAAGCGCCGGTGCGATCTTGTTCCGCCTTGCATCACGAGAGATTTGCGTGCTTCACGTCCTGGACTCGGATGAATATGTGCTGGCCAAGGGCCGCCGAAACTGCGGAGAGTCTCGCCAAGCAGCGGCATTGCGTGAACTGACCGAGGAGACTGGCTTCTCGGGGCGAATCCTGCCATTGAATATGCACACCCGCTCTCCGCCCGCGATAGAAACCGAGAAATTGGATGATGGCGCCCGTTTCTTCGAGGGGATCACTGAGCCTTTGGCCTTGCAAATCCGCCGGCGTAGCGACAGTGAGGTCAAGCTGATCTGGTGGTATGCTGCCACTGTGGATGAGGCCATTTCACCTGTTGAGTCGCTCGAGAAGGAGAGATTTGCAGTGTATTTTTTCAGCTATTCTGACGTGTTGGACAAGTTGACGTTTCGGACGGATCGTGAGATGGTCAAGAAGGCTATCGATCTGGTGGAAAAGACATATGGGCAAGGCCTGGCCCACCCTCTCTAGCTGGTCCCTCTCGTATTTGTCCAATTGTTAGCTGGGTTCTACAGCAATTGGTAATGGGCAATGGAGATAGCAAATATCATGTTGAAAAGATCAAGTCGCAAGGTGTTCATTCCCTCTCAAGCAAACGAGACCTGGCAAGGTGGGCAGAAGACTTGGCGTTGTCTCACGTAATATTCGGACCAGGCACGCTGGTGCTTTACAGCCATTACACTGGAGTGTTTGTTGGGTTGAATGCCTGAAATCTAAAAAAATTGTTAATAATATTGATACACAAGGTAGTGAATCAATCTGAGATGCTACTGCTGCGTCGCACCTTGATTCGAATTCCTTGGATTGTGTCTTGCCTGGAGGCTTGCCAAGACGGAGAAGCTGAAGAGTGAACAATAATCAGTGAAGCGAGCGCTGTGGCAGCGGCGAGGTAGACACCGTGGGCCATTAAAGACATCCATTGGCCATCTATTATAAATACCCAGCATGTAAGCTCTTTCTCTCGGAGAGGCACAGTAATACTTCCAGAGCAAGGCTGTTGCCGAAAATAGCTCCCCCATGTGATGTGAAACGGACCGCCGGGAATGGCAGGATTCCGTCCACTGTCGCGCCCCAACGTGAGACAGGCCATGCTTGGAGTCGCATTACGTAGCATGATGATCTCCCATAATTCAAAGGAATAATAAGCCTCCCGCCATTTGCTTCGGACTATGCTTCCTGGTTCCCTTCCTTTCTGGATGTTTTCTCGCCTTTTCTTTTTCCCTTTTTGATTTCTTTTCGTTCTTTCGGGCCTCTCTCATTGCAAGGCATTATGAAGTTTCACCTCGCTGTGCTGGGACTCACCATGTCCTTCGGCCTCGTTGCCGCCGTGGACACCGACAAGCTCCGAGTCGACGACCCAAACCACCCAATGAACTCCAAGAACGCGGTGAAGGCAAAGGAAAGCAAGAAGAACTCCAAGAAGGCGGCCACCTCCGGCACCGACTGCAAGTCCAAGTCGGCCAAGTGCAACCTGGTCAAGTGCGCCAAGGCCAAGATCTTCACCAACAGGGAGCTCAACGAGATCAACAAGCGAGGCCTGCTGGACCCCCGGGACGTCGACTTCTCCTCCATCGACACGAGGGAGGTCAGCGTCAGCGACCTCGTGGCCCGGGAGGAGTTTGCGCGCTACGACGCCGAGGACGTGGACCACTCCGTGCGGTACTACCTCATGGCCCGCGACATCATGGACGGGTCCGACCTGGCCAGCGGCTACCAGACGCTGACCCGGCGCCAGGGCTCGACGGCGACGTACAAGTTCTGCGCCAAGGACGGCGCCGAGATGAAGTATGCCACGCCGGACTTTCCCGACGGCAACGACCTCTACGACGCCGCGAAGTGGGAGGAGTGCCAGAACTTTGACCTGTCCAACAAGGGCAGCGACAAGGGAGGGGACAGGAAGGTCGTCGACGAGCATGTCTTGGAGAGGCAGCTCCTGACCATCTTTGCGGAGAAGAAGCTGGAGGGCAAGAAGATCAAGATTGACAACCAGGAGAAGAATATGTGCAACTACATGAAGGAGACCTGGACAAACAGCAAGATACTGATAAACAAGCGGACTCCCCTGGACTCTGTCGGCTTCGCCTGGCCCAACAGGAACGAAGACGGGTGAGCAAGCAATTTGGACTTACAGAGCCCCCCGGGATGAGCTTTCAGCTAACGATTGCGCAGCAAGAAGGAAATGAAGAGGCTGGAGAGGAACATTGATGCAGTCAAGGCTCGTGTAAGTTGAAACAGCCCGCGGCGACTTTGTATCAATCAGCGGTTTCTAACGATCATCGTAAATTAGGCCTTTGGCAAGGGTGAGATCATGCAGAAGGGAGTAATCAAGTCCCTCGTCAAGGGATTCAGGGGAAAGAATAGGGTCGTCGCGACCGTCAAGGCTGCCATCCTGGCGGCCAAGTACATGGACGAGAAGGAAATCAACGAAATCTACTACAAGCAGGGCAAGCGTGTCGCCGACGCGCTCAAGAAGGCCGAGGAGGAGGTCGCCAAGAACACCAAGAACTACCAGTCGCAGAACTACGACGAGCTGTGGCTCACGTTCCTCAAGGAGCACACCGACGAGGTCAACAAGAAGCTCCGCGACTTCATCACCAATACCACCAAGCTGCTGAATGAGCAAGTCAAGAAGGAGGTGGCTAGGAAGACCACCAAGAAGCAGACAAAGGCCAAGCTCAACGCCGTCACCGCGATCCTGAATGAGGCAACAAAATACACCAACTCCAAGGAGGGCAATCTCTTTAAAAACCCTTTCTGAGCGAGTCATGCATTGATGGCCAATTGATGATGGGAAAGGAAGAGACATTGGCCCCCATTGCAGGTAGATGGACTAGAGTCCGGAGGAGGAAGGGGGACACGATTGACTGCTGGAGGGATTTTCTTTTTCTTATAAGCAAGCCTGCATATAACGGCGTATTTGGCATTCGGCACACTGGGATTTGGCCTTGATTTCCTCTACTTCTTTCTCTGGACATGCACCAATAAATTTAGGTGCTTTCTTCTATTCTGTTCCCAATTTTTAAACTCTATTAATTTCCGCCACCGATATTGTGCCTGGTGATAGAGTTTTTGCTGGCATAGAAGTTTGGAGGAAGCGTCTACCGGCCGTGCGGCTGAGGAGTAAAATGTGTTACAATAATGCTTGCAACACCAGACAGTAATGCCTGAACATGCCATGAAATTGAAAAGAGAAGCAAATGAAGTGCCATCAAGAACTACCGGTAGTCCTTCTCCTATCATCTGCTGAAGCAAATATTTTTTCCACAGCAACACCCTTGGTCGAGGCCTCAATGGACCATGACTGACTAACTATGACGGCATTTATTATCCGGAATGAGTCGCAAACTCTGCTGCGTGGCGTCTGTCACGGTGGAGATTTTCTTCTGGGTGCGACTGAACTTTTCACTCGACAGTCCAACAATCTGCCCCTCCACCCGTCCTACTAAATGCGCTCGCTACCGCCGTCTTCATTCCTCGTCGCATTCAGCGTCTGTCCGTTGATACAGCCAGATTGATACCTTGGCGCCTGTCTAGAAGCATCGCGCCATGCTCAACATGTTCTCGCTCGCTGCACACCACCTGGGAAGATTTGCCGCGTAATGGCTTAAACAGCTGGGAATGGTTTTGGAATTGCCTCGAGGATTGGGAGATCTGGGCTGTCTCTGAGACAAACGAACAATACCGCCATGTATTCTGGTAGAAGAAGCCTCCAGGCCGGTGAGGGGAACGCCTCTCTCCGGCCTGCATCCGACAGCGCTCGCACACCTACGCCTTCGCCGACGAGACGAACATCGCCCGCTATCATTGTCCGCGACTTCGAGAACGCCATTGTTCACGACTACGATCACGACGACGACAATGTCGATCCGCTAAGCCCTCGCGTTCGCCGAGGCACCTGGACGAAAGAAATCAGCGACCACAGATCCGCCTCGCCGCCCAGCTCCGTCAAAGCCTTTGCTGCATCCCGACGTCGCTCGCGGCGCAACACGTTCAGCAGCGAGGCCAGATCCGAATTCGAGGAACACCTAGCTCGGATCGGGTCCATTTCAGAGGCTCGAAGCATCTCCCCAGGCCAGGAGGTCAGACATCCGAGTGTTGTGACGGTTGACGACGCCGGCATCCATCTCCCCGACATCGAAGATCGCGACGAGTACCGTGACGAGGCCGATGAGGAATACGCAAATGAGAAGGAACAGCTTTGCATCGACTTCGAGTTTCTCGAGCAGTTTATGCACGCCGAGCAGGTAGCACACACGAATCATCGCCTGTCTTCGGATGCCACCCCTAGAATCTTCTCTGACCTGCGCAGGTCTGGGTCTGGCAATGAGAAATTCACGACCAACTCCGAGGGCGATTTCATTCACGCGCAACTGCCTGGCTCACCGGATTCCGAGGAGAAAAAGAAACCCTCCATTATACCTCCAGCACAGATCGAAAGATCCCGCTTTACTTTCTGCTCGTCTTCGTCGGATTCGACGCTTTCCGCGTCCGAGCTGGCTGGTCTGGTCCCGTGCGGCGAGAGTATACGGAGCCTCTTTGAGCAGTCGGTGGATGAGGATGGTTCATGGTGGCTCAACTGCACGAACGTGACGAGGGCTGAAGTCCAGGGGCTTGGGAAAGCCTTTGGAATCCATCCTCTGACAGTCGAGGACATAATTACAAACGAGCCACATGAGAAGGTCGAGCTGTTCAACTCCTACTACTTTGCCTCGTTCCAGTCTTTCCACGCCGTGGAAGAGGATGGCGGCATTGAGTACCAGGGCTTCAGTATCTACCTTCTCATCTTTCGGCAGGGCGTGCTGAGCTTCAGTTTTGTCCCCAACGCCCACGCGTCATACGTCCGGAATAAAATGATGGCTTTGAAGGGATCTGTCTCGGTGAGCAGCGACTGGATCTGCTATGCGATTGTGTAAGTACCCCATGGCATCCTGTCTCGAGCACGTTTCTAATAGCGAGTTAGCGATCACATCGTGGATCAGTTTGGCCCCGTCATCAGGCGAATGGAAGCCGAAGTAGACTCCATTGACGACGATGTCTTCATCATGCGGGATGACGACAAGAACACGATCCTCAAGCGGATCGGACAGGCACGGAAGAACTGCATGGCCCTGTTCCGCCTCTTGGCAGGCAAGGCGGATGTGCTAGGAGGGTTCACGAAACGATGCAACGAGAACTATCCAATGGCGCCCCGGATGGACATCGGCATGTATCTGAGCGACATCCAGGACCACGTCGTCACCATGACCTCCAACATCAGCCACTTCGAGACCATCCTCGCCCGCGCCCACAGCAATTACCTCGCGACGCTCTCAATCAGCAACCACTCCCAGGCACACATGACCAACCGCGTGCTCAACAAAGTGACGCTTCTGGCGGGGGTCTTTGTCCCTCTGCAGCTTGTGAGCTCTCTGTTCGGTATGAATGTGCCCGTGCCCTGGGCCGGCTCGTCAAGCAGCAACCTGGCGCCCTTTTTCGGCATCACGGGCTTCATGCTGGGATTCGCCTTGCTCTTTGTGGCTCTTGCTCGGTTTTTGAGGTTCTTGTAATCACCCACACGACAGGTGCGGAAGACCTGATGGCAGCATCTGGTAGACATATCTGTTTTCATCATTGTTCATCATCAAAGCAATTATGTCTAGTTATGTATGAGGTAGAAAACATAAACAAGTAATTAATCAATGTATAATGTACACGAGCAGTTAAGACACAACTGAGCAAAGCATGCATAAAATAATAAATTCACCTTGATTGTAATTACAGCGTTGCACGCACCATCTCGCCCATCTCCCGCACAGGTGTAGACTTTTTAACTGCTTGACCACTCGTCTGGAGACATTTCTTGCCTCATCTCCCTGTCTGCCCCGACGTTTCCCTGCCGCAACCGGTTGTCTCAACACTCTTCTGAATCCCAATATCCCAACTTTCGAAAAATGAAGCGGAGAAAAACTCCAGTGAGCCTCTAAATGATGTTTCTCCACCATTGTGTGGCCTATCCCTTCCAGCACCACCCTCACTGTACCGGTCAGGCAAGTATCTCATAGTTGCTTGTTGAGCCACAGACGGGTCTCGGCCGTCGCCAAGCTGCGACAAGAGAAAGCCATCTTCAAGCTGTAAATGGTCTTCGGAGGCTATGTAATACCCGTACTCTTCCTCCTCCGAGTTGAAGCACACCGGCTGGTGGGACAGCAGCGGTGACGGTGTCCGGGCCGTTGGCCCACGAACTACTTGGGCTTTGTTCAACTTTGGGCTCCCTGGGAGGAGGAACTCGTTTGAGGTGGGCGGCTTGACGGTCCATATGTGCTCCTGCTCTTTCAGACTCATATTGTCGTTTCCGAGCACATTATTGAGTACCGACTCATCCCAGGCGCTCGGGAGTATGTCTTGTGGCCCAGACTCCCACTGATATTGGGTAGTCTGGTCTTGGTCCGACACAGGCACAGAACCGGATGGGGTTTTTGTTGTTGTTTCTGCCATGCTTGAAAATCCAAAGGCGTTGCTCAAAACCTTTCATAGCATATTCTGGCCTCTTTTATAGTAAGAGAAAATCAAATCAGGAATCAATACTTGTGCCCAACAGACTTGGGAGAAGGAGAGGTGACAACGAAGAGAGAGTGGGTGGGGTAAGCGCACAACAGAGCCAAGTACAGTCATTGGAGTGAATCAAAGCTGCAGTTTCCGCATCGGAACCCAACGGCTGTGTTTCCCACTGCTATTCATAAAAGACGCTATCTGATTGACTGAATGCGCAGGTCTTGGTCACACGAATTCTGCCGAGTGTTTTCTCGAAAATTGAGGGAATGATTAGTTTGATGAGGGATGGTGTGTAGGATGGTGCAATATTTTCTCACATGGATAGGCACATTGTTGCGATTATATAGAGTCACCAAACCAATAACTAGTGAAAAATTGTTGCCGCCGTCAAATATGGTGTTTACGAATTATACGGGTTCTATTTGTAGACACACTGCGAGGTAATGGTAGCATTCTATCTACACCAAGATTCCAGATGTCACCGGCATATCTAAGCTATTTATCAAAAGAATCGTACCTACTATCGCTCTAGGAGCCTCGAGCGTTCGATATCTTCATGACTTTGTGTTTTGGCAACCCTGTCCCGGCCATCGCCCTCTCTAATCATTAATGAACGGGAAGGATATCTCGACGACGGCCTTTTCTTGCATTTGAAACTAAGGCCAAGGCTTCACGACAGTTGTCTTATAATATCTCACAGTGTTGACATTTAGCGCTACTTTAACACTGCTTGCGTTTCTTAAAGTCACAGAGAGGAACAGGCCATTCAACTTCACCAAAAACTTAAACGACAGCCAAGGCTGCCGGCATAGCCGTTTGGGGTGTGGTGTGATTGGTAATGCAAAAGTGAAAAATGGAAGAACATGGAGAAATAAGGAATCCGGGGAATAGTAGCTGATGATAATATATACGGGCGGTGTTTGTCTGCCGCTTGAGCACACACTCTGGCAATCGCTAGAAAGCCGAAGACAGGAGGAGCATGTAAGTTTCGGCATTTCTCGAGTTGCCGATCTCTAGAACAACATTCGCAGACGGACGGAGATCCGTCGCCGAGAAGAAATTGGGGTCAAAGCGGAGCCGCCACCGGCATCATTCAACAGCAAACCACATAAATAAATACAGGCCTGCGATATCGCTCAATAACAGCTTGCGATTCATCCAGCGCTGTTAATCTTGTACATAATTCGCTTCCCCGGTGGCATCATCTCCTCCTTGGCTCCTCTCAACTGCGCGGTTTTCTGCCATACCGCACAACGAATCCAGGGCCAGAGAACATAAGGGTTATTTGATCCTGTGCATTACAGATCACAACCACCCCGCATCCCATCATATCATCCTCGTCTGTTCCATCTGTGCCGCCATGTCTGGGGTGCAGATCTCCATCGACCGGGGTGGCACCTTCACAGATGTCCACGCATCCGTCCCCGGGCAAGACGACATCATTCTCAAGGTCCTGTCTGTCGACCCGGCCAACTACAATGACGCGCCAACTGAGGGCGTCCGCCGCATCCTAGAAATCATCACAGGCAAGCCCCAGCCCCGAGGGCAGCCGTTAGACACCACGCCCATCGAGCGCATCCGCATGGGCACCACAGTCGGCACCAACGCCCTGTTGGAGAGAAAAGGAGCCAAGTCTGCCCTGCTTATCACAAAGGGCTTCAAAGATCTTCTGCGTATCAGCAATCAGTCGAGACCCAAGATCTTCGACTTGACGGTGGAAACACCCGAGCTACTCTACCAGTCCGTAGTGGAGGTGGATGAACGCATCACTCTCGAGGGCTACTCCGAGAACCCGTACCCGGAGGAGATTGACGTGGCCTCTGACTCTGAACTCTGCTTGGGTCAGACTGGCGAGGTGGTCCGCGTGCTGCAGAAGCCAGACTTGACAGCCGTCCGTGGCTCACTGCAAGGCCTCTGGGATCAAGGGTACAGATCGCTGTCCATTGTCTTTCTGCACTCGTACGTCTACCCCGAACACGAGAAGCAGGTCGGGGCTCTCGCTCGGGAAATGGGCTTTTCCGCTGTGGAATCTGCCGCCCTCCAGCCTATGATCAAAGCTGTTCCTCGGGGCACCTCCGCCACCGCCGACGCCTACCTCACACCTATTATCAAATCATACATTGACTCCATCTCAGCCAACTTCCAGGGAGGGCTGGAAGCCGAGGGGCTCCGCTGCGACTTTATGCAATCTGATGGTGGCCTGGTTGACTACAAGAACTTCAGTGGCTTGAAGAGCATTCTGTCTGGGCCAGCGGGAGGCGTCGTCGGTTATGCGCAGACCTCTTGGGATGATGACCAGAGAAAAGCGATCATTGGCTTCGATATGGGTGGTACATCAACTGACTGCTCTCGCTTTGCCGGCACTTACGAGCATGTTTTCGAGACGACCACGGCTGGCGTTTCAATTCAATCGCCGCAGCTCGACATCATTACGTAGGTCCTCCGCCCCTTTCGAGTGTCTAGACACGGTTCCGATCATCCATACTAACCTCGACCCTTTTCAGTGTTGCAGCCGGTGGCGGCTCGATGCTCTTCTGGCGCAACGGACTCTTTGCTGTTGGCCCAGAGTCTGCTGGCGCTCATCCCGGGCCTGCATGTTACCGCAAGGGAGGCCCCTTAACCATCACAGATGCAAACCTATTCCTGGGTCGCATCGTCCCCGAATACTTCCCCAAGATCTTTGGACCCAACGAGGATCAACCACTGGGCACCGAGATCGTAGCCGAGCTGTTTGCGAAGCTGACAGACCAGATCAATGCTGACAACCGAGCTGCCGGGCGAGAGGCATTCACTGCCCAGGACGTCGCTCTGGGATTCTTGCAGGTCGCCTCCGAGGTCATGGCACGACCTATCCGCGCCTTGACAGAGGCTCGCGGGTTCGATACCTCCGAACACCTCCTCTCTTGCTTTGGCGGTGCTGGCGGCCAGAGCGCATGCGACGTTGCCAATGCTCTGTCCATCACTCAGGTGGTCATCCACAAGTACTCCTCCATCCTCTCGGCATACGGTCTCTCGCTGGCAGACTTGGTTCACGAGGTGCAGAAGCCGGCCGCTCTTGATTTTAACGAGCAAAACTACTCAACAATCGAGAAGACCCTGAAGGAGATCTCGGACGAGGCGACCGCGAATATGTTGAGCCAGGGTATTTCCAAAGATCACGTTCGTCTCGAGGTGTATTTGAATATGAGATACGTAGGCTCAAACTCTGCTTTTATGATTTTACAAACCGCTGCTGGTGTGGACAGTTTCTTGAAGGAATTCGAGGAGAAGCACGCCCGTGAGTTTGGCTTCATCTTCCCGGAGAAGAGAATCCTCATTGACGACTACCGTGTGCGTGCCATCGGCTCCACGTCTAAACATGCCGAGAAGAGCCCGTACAAGCAGCTGATGGAGATATCCAAGACGGAGGCGATCGCCCCAGTGCCCGAGTCCAAGACAAAGGTGTTCTTCGTGGCTGGGGAGGGAAGCATCGACACTGACCTATTCCAGCTTCAGAACCTCAAGCCGGGCACCCGTATCCCAGGGCCGGCTCTGATTCTGGACAAGACCCAGACCATCCTTGTCAGACCAGAGGCTACTGCTATCATACTAGAGAGCTCTGTGCTCATTGAGCTCCAGGACGAGGCGTTGGCAGATCCCACTTCGGCATCGAAGAAGGATGAGCAGGCTGTCAACCCGATTCAGCTCTCCATCTTTGGACATCGGTTCATGTCCATAGCCGAGCAGATGGGTAGGACACTCCAGAAGACGTCTGTGTCCACCAACATCAAGGAGAGATTGGACTTCTCCTGCGCAATCTTCTCGCCCGATGGCGGCCTTGTGGCCAACGCCCCGCATGTCCCTGTCCATCTTGGCTCCATGCAGTTCTGTGTTCGGCACCTGTATAATCAATGGAAGGGTCGCTTGGAAGAGGGGGACGTCCTGATCTCCAACCATCCATCCAGCGGCGGCACACATCTACCCGACATCACTGTTGTCACGCCTGTCTTCAACCAGGGAGAAATCATCTTCTTCGTGGCGTCTCGTGGCCACCACGCAGACATTGGCGGCACCCGCCCCGGCTCCATGCCTCCCGACTCGCACTGGCTGTACGAAGAAGGCGCTGCCATCTTGGGCGAGAAGCTTGTTAGCAACGGACGGTTCAACGAGGAGCGCGTCATCGAGATCCTCCTCCACGAACCGGCCAAGATCCCTGGAGGATCCGGCACCCGCACCCTGAGCGACAACCTGTCCGATCTCAAGGCGCAGGTGGCAGCCAACAAGCAGGGCATCAACCTGATTCATGCTCTTGTTCAGGAGTACACACTGCCCCAAGTCCACAAGTACATGTACGCCATCCAGGACAACGCTGAGCAGGCGGTGCGCTCTTTACTGAAGAAGATGCACGCCAACATGCCGGCATCGGGCCTCAAGGCAGTGGACTACATGGACGACGGGACGCCCATCAGCCTCTCCATCACCATCGACAAGGACGCCGGCTCCGCCGTCTTCGATTTCACGGGCACCGGACCCCAAGTATATGGCAATACTAACGCCCCCCAGGCAATCACGCACTCGGCCATCATCTACTGCCTGCGCAGCCTCGTCGCCTCGGAGATCCCCCTCAACCAGGGCTGCCTGAACCCCATCGACATCCGCATCCCCGAGTCCTCCATCCTCAGCCCGGCGCAGGGCGCCTCCGTCGTGGGCGGCAACGTCCTCACCTCCCAGCGCATCACCGACGTCATCCTGACGGCCTTTGGCGCCTGCGCCAACAGCTCCGGCTGCATGAACAACCTCACCTTCGGCATCGGCGGCAAGAGCGTCAACGAGAGGGGCGAGGAGACGGTGGAGAGGGGGTTCGGGTACTACGAGACCATCGGCGGCGGCGCGGGCGCGGGGCCGACCTGGAGGGGAACCGACGCGGTGCACACGCACATGACCAACACGCGCATCACGGACCC